TCATATATCGTCATATCAGAATACAAGATGAAGACACCCCAAATGCTCGAAAGACAGTTGGTCAAAAGATGGACTACACTTGTCTCTTTGACGAATTGAAAATGAAGCATGCTTGCAATTCAGTGGGATTTTGATAAAGCCTGTGCCTATGGTTACCCTATAGCCATAGGGTTCGGCAAATAATTAAGCTTAACCATAGGTGAGTTCTCATGATTGAAAAGGGAATAACTTAGATAGCAGGGGACGATGGGAACTTACCCATTAATAAGCGTATACTTGATATGATTACTAGTGGTATAGATGAACGCACTATGCTCTTCCCAAGCACCGCTTTTGATGCGAACTGTCTCGTGGATAGTGGCTTTTACATCTAGCTGTCGATCGCAAAGATATAGATAAAGCTTGCTGAAGAGAGCAACATACTGACCATCTGGGGACCATACGGCATGTCGAATGAACTAAACGTGTCAAAAAAAGATAAAAAATGTGTGATTAAGAGAGAACAATACGAAACATATAAGAAAATATAAGAGGATTATCAAAGAAGTTCATTCAATAATTCATTAACAATGTGGAGGACGTATAGGTAATGGAAGATGAGCTGGAGAATCGAAAGAGAATGCCATAATTCGCAAATGCAGCTAGCAAAGATTCAGAAGGGACTAAGATTCCATAAAAAGGTTATACAAAGTGATGTAACAATTATCTAACCAGGTAACAAAGAGATTATTTAAATGCCAGATTTTCCTAAGTACAAAAAGCAAACACTTATGTCTTATATTTCATAGTTAAGGCAATTACTGGTATTAAAATGCGAGATTTCCCTTCGTATTAAGATGGTTTTTACTTAGAAGTATTAGCATAACTAGGATTCTGTTTTGAGTGTCATGGACTTGTTTGACGGAAGGGCTTATTATAAGGACAGTTCAAAAAGCTAAATCTATGATAGGACCAATTTAGTTTGGAAAGAATGATTAGATAAAAATATTATATCCCAAGAATAAATCGGCCTAACAATTCAAACAGAAGGGAACCAAGAATCTCTCTTAATTAATAGCCAGCTGATGTACAAATTTAGTTCATCCATGCTAAAAATCCAAAGATATGAAAAAATGAAGATGATATAAAGTTGAAAGTAACAAAGTGGCTCACTTTGGCATTTTTCATGGTCGCTAGGATGCGCTTATTAGTAATATCACATAGGCTGATTCCGTTAGGATCTCGGATAAGAACATTGCCATGCCCAGCAGAGAAAATATGGTCAACACCGGGCATTTCAACTTTTTTAATGCGCTCATTTTGTAGATTTTTAATCGAAATCTGGAAAAGTAAAAGTATTGGAAAAAATTGTAAGAGTAACTAGAAATCAACAAAAATAAAATAGCTTTCAAACCGATGGGTTGTTAGTATTTTCTAAAACTAGAATGCTTACAGGTCTCATTTAGTAAAATATATGGCTTGTCCATTTAAGTTGGATATGACGATTCATATCATCTAGCATCTAGATGAATTGTGCGCAATTAATGCCTCTATCCATTTAAATGGCAGTGCGAAATTTAGAATCAACGCCTTTGCAACCTACATCTACTTCGAACAAGGTATAAGAAATGTCACTCAGTATCTGGCATTAAATATAAAATTGTATTAGAAAGATTACCAGATATTCGTCATATACCTACCGTTCCAGTGGCCTCAAGAACAGCAAATTTGTTCCGGCCCACCCAGACCGCAGCTGAGCCTTGTCCAGAACGTGGGTCAGCTTGTTCCGGATGCCCACTGCCCTCAGTTGGCAGCATATAGAGGTCATAAAGACAGATACCGTTTGAGGAATTGGAGCCAAGATTTGTCGTACTGGCTCCAGTGACTGTGTCTCCCAACTGGGGTCGACTCATAACAAGAATAGCATTTTCTATTGGATTGTAGGTAAGAGACGAGGGACAACCGCGACTACAAAAATGAAATGAAAGATAGAAAATTACAACCAAAAAGCAAATGCTATGACTACTTTAAGTAGTCATCAATAATTTAAATAAACTTTTATTCACTGGGGTAAATACTTGAATTTGAAGGAATAAGGCAATAGGACTGAGAAAGACGATGCAACTGAAAGATCCTCGTCAGCTTGATACATTTCCCTATTTGTTGCGAAAGTATGTTTGCTTAGCTTATATAATTCAATTAATGATAAAGTTCCACAGATTTTAGGTTAGAAACAATGATTGCCTATAGCAGTCAAAGTAGCAATCAGCATAAGGCCCCTAAATACCCATGCTAAAACAAAGACAAAATTTCTATTGAGGCTAAGTGAATAGGTATGCTAACTTCTTGGTCTTCTTAACTAAATTTGAACAAGTGTGAGTCCAATTTTGATTTCGAAAGAAAGGATTCTTGGAAGGGATTCGTCAATCGCCTCGACGGAAGACGAAGGCTGATTGCTTTGGATTTGTCCAATTTGTCCAAAAAGTCTACCAACGCAACATGAAAAGGTAGACAAATTGGACTGTTCAGGAGTTTGCTGTATATCATGCGGCGGCTGCGGACATAATATATATGGGCGAAACAGGAAGAAAAATTAGCATACGAATAAAGGAACATCAGAGGCTCTGCAGGAAAATGGATACTGAAATATCAGAAATAGCTGAACACATCGCACGAACTGGACACGATATTAATTGGAAAACAACATAAATGAAAGCTCCATACGGTGACAACACAAGGAAGCGGAAGATTAGAGAGGCCATTTACACCCTTGGGGATACAATTT